TGAGGAGTGGTTCCTTGGTTCCACGACCACCACCCCGGCATCCATTTTGAGCGCGTGACATCACCTGATTTAGCTCCAGGTGACGAGTGATTCTCGCGCTCAAAATGGATGTCAGTGTCTTATATATGGTGGGTAGACACGTGATGGGGCGGTATTTTAACCAAATGAGTGATCCCAGTAGTGAAGAGGCTCGGGAGCGACTTCTGATCGAGAGCCTCTTGAAACTGTCGGGCGAGCACAGCGTGACACACTACGAACCCCTTCAGCCAGTAATGATGCAGCCCGTCGAGCCCCGGACTTTTCCAGTTCGGGGCCCTACGTGTAACGTCAATAAAAGGCGGAGTTGAACAGCGAACTGAAAGCTTTATTGGTACCCACTACCTACATACACAATAACGAAAATAACTATCATATACCCTACACATTCCCCCTTTAAATGACTAAGTGACATATTATTTAATAAAAACATCTAACTATATCATCCAACAAAAGGATGTTATGTTATTGTACATTAATTCCGATTCTTTCCTATTACACAGAAAAAAGAAAATAATTACAATTCCTTTTTCTTGGCTCGAATATAAGCACGCAGTGCTCGAGCCGATACACTCGGTGAAGGCGGTGACGAGGAGTTTCTCTCTGCATTATCTGTAATATTCGAACTGCCTTTTTCGTCCTGGTCATTGCCCTCTCCGGTTGCATCTTCAAATAAGTCATCGGTGCCACTATCAGGCCTCAGGTGTGGGGTCTCCTCGGTCTCTTTTAATTCGCTAATGCTAGGCCTTGAAAGGGAATAACGACTTTTACGATTGGTTGGTATCACTTGGTCGATATGTCTTTTCCACTCGATTCCATCCCCCATGCTGACCCTATAAGAAACGGGTCCCGTTTTTTTTACTATCTTTCCTTCACGCCACTTGCCCCCTTTTGGTGTATAATTTCTAGTCAACACCCGGTCTCCTATAGCTATATTACGGTCCGAACCCCCGGAATTGGCAACCTGCTGATATTGAGCCCTTCGCACCACATCAGCCGTGTTGGGACGTAAAGCATCCAGGCGACTGCGTAAACGGCGACCTAACAATGCCACTGCAGGTGACACCGCGGTTGTGGCATGTTCGCAGTTGCGGTATTGAAATAAAAATCTGTTTATTGCCTGTAATATATCTTCCCCTTCAAAAACCGCCCGTTTTATAACTTTTTTAATGGTTTTCACCGCATTTTCCGCAGCACCATTTGCCTGAGGTCTGTAGGGAGCCGATGACACATGCCTAATACAATTTTTTTTTACAATAATTTTTAAAATCTATGGACATAAAAGGCGGTCCATTATCCGTGACCAATTGCGACGGCAAGCCAAATCTTGCGAACATACTTCTAAATGCGGCTATGGTCTCTTTGGCATCCGTCCGACCCATCGGTACTACCTCTATCCATTTCGAATGGGCGTCTATAACTATGAGATATTTCTTGCCCACGTATTCGGCAAAATCTGCATGCAAACGTTGCCACGGATTTAGAGGGAATTCCCATGGATGCAGAACGGCTCGGGGAGGACTATCACGAACTGAGCAACACGCTTGGCAATTACGACATAAGTTTTCTATGTCCTGGTCTATACCAGGCCAATAGATGTAATTTCGAGCTAGATTTTTCATTTTATTCATTCCTAAATGACCCTCATGAATTTCCATTAAAACTCGTTCTCGTAGTGAGGGAGGGATTACGACGCGATATTTATAAATTAAGCAGCCTAGATCAAGCAACATTTCTTGCTTTCTATCAAAGTACGGCTTCTCGTCGTCGCATTTGGTCGAGAAGGGCCAACCGAACATTACATAGCCTGTAATTCGGCTCAATACCGTATCCTTTTTTGTTTCGATACTAATATCCTTGAAGTTTACCGGAATAGTATCTTCCAGTAAATTAATGTAAGACGTGACCGAGGACTGGTGACGTTCGGTTGGCAGAGGAAGGCGGGACAGCGCGTCGGCCGGGCCGTTAGCAGCCGAGCGAACAAACTCCACTGAAAAATCATAGGCGGCCAATCGGGCAGCCCACCGCTGTAAGCGACTGGCTGCCGTTTGTGGTATCCCGCCTCTTTTCCCAAAAATGTAACTTAACGGCTGATGATCCGTTCGTAAAACAAAGCGTCGACCGAATACATATTGGTGGTGTTTCGTTATTCCAAAAAATATGGCCAGAGCCTCTTTATCTAATTGACTATAATTTTTTTCTGAAGCATTAAGCGTACGCGATACACAGCTGACCGGTCGCTCGGTGCCGTCGGGGTATACGTGTGCTAGTACTGCGCCCAGCCCATACGCACTGCTGTCCACCGACAGAACCAGTGGCCGCCCTTCCTCATAGTGAGCCAAAACCTTTTCGCCCAACAAAGCTCTTTTAGCTTCTCGGAAGGCCTGCTCGCATTTTGAAGTCCATTTCCAATTAACTCCTTTGTTTAATAACAAATGTAAGGGATGTAAAATGGTACTGAGATTAGGAATAAACTTGCCATAGTAATTAAGGAGACCAAGAAAACTTTTTAATTGGGTAACATTCAGTGGTGTTGGAGCATTAGAAATGGCTTCCATCTTTTTCGGATCGGCATGCAATCCCTGCTTGTCAATAATAAAACCTAGGTACTTTACACTTTTTTGTAAGAACTTACATTTTTCGGTTTTAACGGTAAAGCCCATAGTCCGCAACCGTTCAAGTACAGCTCGTAAATTACTCAGATGTTTATTTCGCGTAGCTCCCGTGACACAAACGTCGTCCAAAAAAACTACCGTACCGGGTATACCGCTGAGTGTCTCTTCCATAATTTTCTGGAATTTTTCGGGAACACACGACAACCCAAATGGGGTTCGACGATATACGAATGTGCCTAGATGTGTAGTAATTGCAGTGTAACGCCGAGAATCCTCCGTTAGCAGTAATTGTTGATAGGAATTTTTTAGATCAATTTTCGAAAATTCTTCACCACCACTTAATTTGGCAAAAAGTTCTTCAATTCGCGGTAACGGATAAAACTCCCGCTTGAGCTTTGGATTTATCGTAATTTTATAATCTCCACAAATTCGTATATCGCCGTTTTCTTTTATAACCGGTACTATAGGAGTACCATACTCGGAGTGGTCCACCTTAAAAATGGTACCCTCGGCCTCAAGCCTCCTCAGCTCCTGTTCGACCCGGGATCGAAGCGCCAATGGCACGGGCCGCGCGCGCACGTACACAGGTTGTTCGTCACTGAGCTGTAGTTGAACGCTTTCGGTACAAGTGCCTAACTTATCTGTAAACACTTCGGGGAATTCGCTAATGAGTCGGCTCACGAATGAATCATCTAGAATTTCATTAACACTAATATTAATTTGATTTATTTCAAGAGCTCGAATCCATTGTCTACCTATTAAAGGGCATCCTCCGTTACGAATTACATATAAAGAACAATTTTTTTTTCTGACCTCTCCCAATGCTACATTGACCAATATAAAACCCAAAGATTCGATTCGCGAACCGACATAACTATGTAATCTTACATTATCTTTGATAAGGGATTTATACGGAAAATGACACAAATAAAACTGTTCACTTATTGTCGAAATGCGACTACCGGTATCGACTTCGAAAACTAACGGCTGTCCATCTACTTTCAAAGTTAATTTATAAGACTCGTTACCTTTAGCTTTCAGCTGGATATTAAAAAAAATCCTCTCCTTCGGAACTCACATCACTCACATAATGCTGGGGGCCGCTCGACTGCCTCCCGTCGCGCGCTTCTTTGCACATCACCTTAAGATGTCCGCGCCTACCACACTTATCACAATTGTATTGCGCAAATCGGCACTTATCCGCCCTATGTGGCTTTCCACAACGCCAACATGGCCCCGAGCTTCGCTGACTCCGTCGCGTCTCCATGGTGCCTCCTCTAGAGACCGAGCGTAGGTCTCGCCGCCCTCGGCGCTCCCCGGCCTGATGTAAACCTTCGCCTCTTTCTAGACTGCTGCTCCGAACACCTGAGGTCGAAGCTGGTGCCGTGGCACCACTCACCTCCGCGTGTCTCTCCGCAGCCTCCAGCGCAAAAGCCAACTCCACCGCCTCCTTGTACCGAATGTTTCTTTCGGCAAAAATACGGGACCGCATCGCCTCGCTCGCAAGACCTGATACAAATTGGTCCCGCAAATTCTCTTCAAGTGTCACTCCAAAATTGCAGGTCGAAGCCAAATGTTTCAGATTTTGCAAATATTCGGCAAGTGATTCACCTCCGAGTTGCCTGCGCAAGCGGAACACGTGGCGCTCTGCAATCTCGGAACGCTGTGGTTCTAAGTGACTCGACACTAAACTCACTAATTCTTCGAAAGTTTTGTCTTCCGGGTGTGCAGGAGAACATAGATCGCACATCAACGAATATGTCGCCTCGCCGACCACGGTTATTAACATAGGAACTCGTAATTCAGACTTGATTTCGTTTAGCAATATAAATTGTTGAACTCGACGAATATACGCGGGCCACTGTTTACTGGCTAAATCGAACGGCTCTAATTTACCAATAGGCATAATTACGACCACTTTATAACGTTTTGAATAATACGAAACAACGCGTGGTTACGGACTCGTCGCCAATGTAACGTCAATAAAAGGCGGAGTTGAACAGCGAACTGAAAGCTTTATTGGTACCCACTACCTACATACACAATAACGAAAATAACTATCATATACCCTACACTACGGACCGCCTCAGCCACGTCTTCAGGCGTTATGGTGACGGGGTCCATAGGCGTAACACTTGCACTCTGGCTCGCCACAACTTCCATCCAAGGGCCCTCGCTGTGGTTTACGGGCTCTGACCACAGGCCACGCCAAAATGCGACAGTGTCGGCCTGATCCGGTCCTGGGCCCGCTCCACATATCTCTGGTCGCTCCAATAATTTATAGAGCCTCTTCTGATCACTCTGGAAGAGACGATTCTGGTTGAACCGCCTTGACCTCTCGCTAAATCGTCAAATCCGCTTCCCCCAAGCAGCGATTTTTTGCTTCAGGTCATCTATGCGCTCCGTTAGTTTTTGCGTGATATCCGGTTGGAACAAACTGATATTTGTCCCAGCAAACGCCATCCTAACGGTGCGCATAATCCTCGGTCTATTATTACCCGACCTGAAGCTTGTCAGTCTGCCGATAAGGGCCCTTGCCTTTGCGATACGGTCCTCAATTCTTTTTCTCCAGCCTGGGATGGCGCTACTTTTTTGAGTAGCACGTCCAGCCACGGGAAGTTTGGCGCCAATAATACGGCATACTGCCAGTGCGGCGCCAAAAAGAATTGAATCCGTCTCGCAAAGGTCCCGGCTGGCTTCCAAATAGGTCACCAGCATTGGATTAAGAGCCCGCACGACAGCCCGATTTCGCTTGCTAAGGGGTATGCGGGGAAGTCGCGGTCGATTTTCGAGAGGCATGCTGCGCGTTTCCAGCATTGACTCTTCCAATATGCTCCTTATTTTCTCTAGTTCGTGGAAGACTATTCCATCATCGTCTGAATTAGCCACTGGAATGTTGACGGCAGCATCAACATATGCAGTTTGTTGCGCATCTAGTGGCGCCGCATTCCCAGCCGTAGCATTTCCATTCGATGAAGGAATAGCCTCACGTCGTAGTCGCTCGAGTTCGGCGTCACCAAATATGTTGGAACGCAGGATGTACCTAACTCGGTCTGCCAGGTTTTGCTCAGTGACGGATAGAGATGGCTCCAGCTCTGCAAAAAAGCGATGCATCCGAGCCCGATACGCCAAACATCCAGTTTCTTCCCCTTTTGCCCTAAAATACGCCCTCAGTGCGTTTTCATTCATTGATTTAGACCAACGCATGCGACGTGCTCCACCAGCGGCGGGTGCCGCTTGCTGAGTCCGAGAAGACCCAGCCGACACCAAGCCTTCTGGTGGGGATGATGGATGCGGGGGGCTGCTAGGTGGTCTTGCAACACCCCGCACTCGGCTGGCGGCCCGCATGCTGTCGCGTCCAGCGCCAGCTCCAGACGCGCCCTGGCGACCTCCAGGCAGGGGCCCTTTGCGCACTATCTTTTTTTAACATTATTATTATTTTGTTTATTAAGAGAAAAACATTATATTTAAAATGCAAATCTAAACTTTAAACGTAATATTCACAGCATCCAATATTTATACACAAATATTTCGGTTGGAGTGGTTATTAGTTAATTACGAAGGGCAGAGCCGCAAGACTTAAAAGGGTAAAAATTATTAATTATTAATGTAATTATTTCATTTTAACTATTCTTCGTCCCAATTATATTATATATTGTTGTAATCGGCAAAAGGGAAATGATTTTTTATGTAACTGAATTTACGAAAACTGTAACGAGAAAATAATGGGATCTATTATTACCATCCGGCGTTACGTAGAATTACGCTGATTCTGTGGGAGTCATATCGATCACGGTATAACAACATTACTGTCGACTCAGCACTTTACCTAGCGTTCCTTGCTATAACTAGTTCCTTGATAATATTACAGAACGGTATGTTTACATTAATGAAGTTGACCCTGCAGTCAGTGTATGTGAATTAAGTATCACAGGCTCATTTTAATTCAACCCTCGTAGTTTGACCTTCTGAGCCCCTTTTATCTATTTATATACCGATATCTCCAATATTTTTGTAATTTCATTGCTTCCAATTTTTTGCATAAATATTTAGTAATATTACTCAAAAATTTAATACGTAATAAACTTTATTAAATACTATGTAATTGCGATTTAACTACAAGCCCCATTAAATTCGTAATATAAGGCGACTGGATATTAAAGTAGGTAATGAAAAAGTTTAATTAAAAATGAGTTTTATTTAACAGTGATGTAAGATAAATTACATTTAAAGTAGTTGACTATTACAATAAATTATTTAGAACATTAAATAGAACGGGAAATCGAACTTGGATATCCTAGTTTTTGAAAACTATGTGTTTTCTAAAACTAGGATATCCAAGTTCGATTCCCCGTTCTATTTAATTCACCTAACTCTAATCATGTACTATCAATGATAGCGTTTCGAACTAATTAAACAATGTTTTAAGTTGGTGATATATTATGCAAATGTGAGATCTACTTTGACGTCTGTATTTATAAAATGTATAATATGAAGAATCCCACGGCTGTAAGGAACGCTTTCAAATCATTCTTTAGAAAATACACATATAATCCTTCCCTTTGTACTCAACATGATTATTGAAATAAAATTATTTAAGAACTCTAAATTTTTCTTGCTGGACCCTTATTAGCCTTACTAGTCAAAATATATTATGTAATACGTACTGTTATATTTTATGTAATATGTACTTTTATGCCCTTTTATGTAATATGTACTGTTATATTATACCTATCGACACAATAACGTCGAAATTTGATCCGTTACGCTAACAGTGCAGTGTCAGAATCACTAGATGGGTTTGTAGTGCCATTAGTCTTTTGGAACAGCGACATTAGAGTGGTTGGTTTCGACTTAAAAGTTTTACGGCATAACTCTAGTTCATACACCAGTCATAGATATAGTTTGAAATGCATAATTTTTTATAATAATAGTAATGTTTATTTCTTAAGGTATCAACTCATTTATGAGTACATCTAATACATTTTGAATCAAAGAAAATCAATCATGGAAGTACAAATCACATACAAATACAAATTAGACTCTATTGTGATTTAAAATATCAGTCAGTGTTTATAAAATATATTATCAGGAGACACCTGAGCAACGACATATATTATATAGGGTTGATAAATCGCCGCTCCTAGTCGTGTTCCTGCGGCCATAATAATAATAATTTATTTCAGATAACTAAGTAATCCATTAGTTATTTCCCCGAAACTCTTCACCGCTAAATTGGAAGACATTTTCAAGCTATTGGACTGGAAAGGATACGGTATTAACATCAATGGCGAGTACATCACTCACCTTCGATTTCACGAGTCCTTATGGACTTAAGCACTATGCTCAATGACCTCAATAGTGCCTCCCAACGGATAGGTCTTAAGATGAACATGGACAAAACAAAGATCATGTTTAATGTCCATGTCACACCTATGCCGGTAGTTGTTGGGAGCACTAAGCTCGAAGTTGTTGACGAGTACGTTTACCTGGGACAAATAGTCTGACTAGGTAAGTCCAACTTCGACCGAGAGGTCAATCGACGGATTCAACTCGGCTGGGTAGCGTTCGGGAAATTACGACACATCTTCTCGTCAGGTATACCTCAAAACCTGAAAACTAAGTTGTACAACCAGTGTGTGTTGCCAGTGATGACATATGGAACTGAGACGTGGTCCTTCACTGCTGGCCGTATGAGGACGTTCAAAGTTGCTCAGCGAGATATGAAGAGGGCTATGCTCCGAGTTTCTTTGCGTGATAAACTTAGAAATGAGGATATCCGCAGTAGAACGAGAGTGACCGACATAGCCCAACGGATTAGTAAGCTGAGGTGGCAATAGCCGGCCACATAGCTCGAAGAACCGACAACCGTTGGGGAAAAAAGTTCTCGAGTGGCAGCCTCGTACCGGTAGGCGAAGTGTAGGGCGACCCTCCACTAGATGGAGTGACGACCTGGTAAGACATGCAGGAAGTCGATGGTTGCAAGTGGCTCAGGACCGTGCTTTGTGGCATACCTTGGGGGAGGCCTATGTTCAGCAGTGGACTTGTGAAGGGCTGTAATGATGATGATGATGATGATGATGAAGTAATCCATATATAATTTACGAAATCTATTACTTATATTAGTACCTAAATCTAATTTTTAAATACATGTACCTTATTAACTAAACCGAGGCAGTTTACATCGGAGTGTTGATGCCTTACTGCACGTAAAGCGTCAACACTCCGCTGTAAATAATTCAACCACAAGCCGCACGTGTAGAAAACTTGACAGTAGGTTTTAAATAATATTATTTTTACTTGTTCACTACAACGCTTGGCCACTACAAAACTTCGTGCCAACGAATTACATTGCACTGCTAGCGCCCAACGTTCCTTTTTAATGTCAAGATTGTCGTTTAGGTTATCGGTAACATATGTAGTGTTGTAGCTCAAACCATGGTTTAACGCATACTTATCACATAACTTAAGGAGTTCTCTGGTTGCCTTGATAGTTGGACTCAACAGCACCATATCATCTGCGTAGATGAAGTTATTAAAACTTACATCGTCGATCCGGCATCTGACTACTTTGCTGCTGAGTTCAACGATTAGGTCATTTATATACAGGGTACATTTAGGTACAATTCTTATCTCATCTTATTTCTTCCAATACTTTAGCAATTGAGAAAAATATGGAAATAGGCCTATTATAATTGGTACCACTTTAGATACCTTCCAAGCATTGGGAAAAACCCCAGAACTCAATGAGTTGTAAAAAATAATAAATAAGGGTCCATCAGGCACGATGCGCGTCGTGAAATGAATAATGTTGAAATACTATCACTCCCAGGGCCCTTCGTTACATCAATATTGACTAATTTTTTATAGATTTGCTTGCGGCAAAGATGTAAAGTGGAAAAACTGTCGATTCCTCCTCCCACTAATGAACCAAATATATTCTCGTCGGTATTTATATCACAGGAGACGCCAAGGTTGGAGGTAATAGAGAAGAAGTAAGATGCAAAGCTGCAACTCCATATGTTGTTAGTACCATTTCGTATCACCGTATTATCGTCTGTCATCATAGCTGGATATGTTCCGGAACCACAACGTTTGGTCTTGATATAAGACCAGAACAGTTTCGGGTTCTCTGTTAGCAACATGTCTTACTTTTTATATAAAAATTAATTTACACACTCCACCACATAGGGTTTTAATATGGGAATGCAATTTTAAAGTCTTGTCAAATAATATATTATCCGTTCTTCACACAATTTATTATTGTCTGCTCCTCTCCACTATTCTGAGTTTATGTCAAATTCTTTCACATTAACTTCCATCTCCCTCTGGAACAAGTTGTCTGTTGACTTGCGAATAATACCTGCCAAAAATGTTTTTAAGAGAAAACTATATGAACATATTATCCGTAGCCAACAAAGTTGAATCCACTTATTTTAAATGTTTATAGTTACTTGTATATATATTTATTGAGATATATATGTATAAATTTCTATTTATTAATATAATATGTATATCAAATATATGTTATATACCTATATATATATATATATATATATATATATATAAATATATGTATATATATATATATATGTAAGTGTGTATGTACATATATGTGTATATAGGAAGGTAGTTAAATAGATATATAATAGCTGATAATAATAATTAATTCGTTTCCACGAATTAATTATCCGAATAGTCTAGGATGAGCTAGTAGCAGGATACAACAAGTGAATCGTGCCACACCAGAGCTATGACTGCCTTAACGACGACCGCTCCGTCCGTTTTATACAATCGAGACAAGTAGCTACCCGAGCGCCACCGCAGGTGCAATGCGCAGGTGTGCGGTGCACGTGTTGTTTACAATAATTCCAACTTGCCACAGAGGCGCTGCTGCACGTTCAATGGCGCAGGTACCAACACGGCCATCCTGACATGCGTGCGTCCTCGCACGCGCTCCATCACAATCTTAGTTATCTGTAGACAGAAAAACATTGTTCGCTTATCCTGACAAAAGTCATAAACTTTTACACATTCAACAATACGTTCTGGTACGGTCTATATTGAACCTTCAGGTGTTAACAATTAGCTCTGGTCCGGTCTACATCGACCCT